AATCAATAATTCTAACCCATGTTGGACTAAAAAATGAAAGTCAAAACCGACCAAAACAACCAAAAGGAAAGTTGTAGTATCCATTGAGATTGTCATATAGAGGGTCTAGAGTAGAGCACACACGAGGAAGTAATGATTTTTGAAAAATCTTTACTTGCACGTCAAGTACGCGCCACCATGCGCCGAGCACTGTAACATCCCAAAAATCAAGACCAAAAATTTCATTTTAATTAATTAATAAAACTATAAGTTATCAAAACATTTCATCGAAACATTGTCATAAGAGTTCCATATTAAAAATCAGAGTAAAACATCCCAGGCTAAACATCATGGTGTGTGCGATGCAGTCATCCCGAGCTCTTCCCTCCGCTACCGGAAGTACCTGAAACCAAAACTGAAAACTGTAAGCACAAAGCTTAGTGAGTTCCCCAACCTACCACATACCATACACATAACCACATACCGGGGCCCCGCCCGCTTCATCGGGACTTGCCCGGCATTAGACTCGCTCCGGCATCGGGCCCCGCCCGACATCAGGCCCCACCTGGCATCGAGCCCCGCTCGGTATACATATATGTTTCTCTTAGGCCCTGCCTGTCTCTGGGCCTCGCCCGCTAACCACATACAATAACATAAACATACTATCACAATAAGCAACCATACTCTATTGTATTCCTGTTCTAAGGCCTCGCCTATCTTGGGCCCCGCCCCTGTCCTGCTACTGAAGAGTCATGGAACCCCATCCATACTCCTGCTAATGGTGAGATACGGGCCCCCACCCAAACTCACCTTTCTCCTGTCCCGAGACCCGCCCCTGCTATACTAATAATGAGATACGGAACCCCGTCCGTACTCAGCTAGTGGTGAGATACGGGACCTCGCCCACACTCACCTCCCTACCAGGCACATACATGTATCACAAAGACAACAAGTATAACTACTATGCAACGTATAACATTCCTCGGGCTTACCCCATCATCGGACCCGAGTCCGGAAACATTCTACCAGCACATGCAAGAATCACAAAGACCTCTAGCATACTAACATACCTCGGGCCTCGCCCGGCATCGGATCGTAATCCGGAACATATATCATAAAAATGCCTAGGGCTAACCCCCGGGTCTTCCTACTATACACAAACATAATGGGCCGGCATTGTGGCCGTAGACCCATGCACACAATGAGGAGACTCACCTCGCACTGCTGAAGACCTGGTGATACTCTTCTGGCTGCTAGCTGGTAATTCCCCGAACTGTTGCTCCTTCGGCTCCCCGAGCTACCAATACCAAAATAACACTTAGGCCAAAATACCCTGAATTTAGGGTAGTAAGGGGCTGAGTGAGAGGCCTCATGTTCTTTAAATAGGGTACCAGACCTGAATTTAGGGTTTCCCAAACCCTGACCAACTCTTCGAGTCGGTCACTTAATCCGCGACTTAAAAATCCGCTCCTACTCGTCGAGTTCCTCCCTGGACTCGGCGAGTAGACCTCTTGACTTAGAGTTTTTCTTTCTTTTTGTTGACCTTTTGGATTCCGGGTGTTACAAATCTCCCCCACTTAAACTAGACTTCGTCCTCGAAGTCCGCCACATCTACTACCCTGAAACCTCTCATAGCATACCTATACGATGCATGCTTCGCCTGCTCGTCCAATCCTGGGAGGGCCGCTTCCGTTGGCCTTCCATCCGGTCTTCCGCCTAAGCAAATCCTTGGAGGTAAAAACCTCGAGAGCACTTCTAATCACTAACAATTCTGAGAACATGGCTCTTGACCAAACCAACAATCCTTCCGATCTCCCCGAGTAATTACGCTTTCCATCCAAGGGTTCACCCTCAACCCTGCGTAATCCACGGCCTTCCCAAGGCAACTGAACTTAAGCAACAACCTTTCCTATCTCTGTGAAGGACTGACCCTTCGTTGTAACTACATCTCCAGCCACTCCCAGTGCTGGTCACTTCACTGATACTCACTGAATGCTTTCTCTTACTATATCCCAGTGCTGAACACCCAACCCAGCGAATGGATCAGATAATCCTTCGAGTAAAGACTCATCCCTGCAACGGTTAGACTCATATGAGAGCTGCGCAACAGAGTCAAATCACTTACTCTAGGATTATTTAATCCTGTTGTGAGTGGCTTAGAACCTCTCAGTCAACTAACTACTCCACGCACAAATTCTCTTATCTTTGTCCCTGCCTGAACCTCTCAATCAACTAACCAACTATCTGCTGTCGTGCATACACGGACCCTACAACGGGAAGTTTCCCAAACCTCCAATTCCTGCACTCCTCTATCCACATGGTCAATCAGGCTGTTTCCCTACCAAACCAGATGCAAACTTATCCTGACTCACACTTACTTCTGCTCTTGAATACTCAGATGGTTCTCCCCCACTTCGATTCAGCTAACTCCTTATAGCTCACAGCCTTGGAATGGTTTCCCCATCCAACTCACCGTCCAACGATCGATCCGCTCGCAATCTGACGCTCACACTGCTAGTGATCTAACTGTCCAGTACCAATCAATACCTCTCTTGAAATACTAGCGACACATATCCCGAGTTCTAGTCACGCTTGCTACAATTACTGCATCCTGATAACCTTCTCTAAAAGGGAATGACCTCTAACTACTATTCTGACATCCAAGGTATGCAAATGACATATAACTCCATATCGATGCAGTACCACAACAACAAAATCATAAATAAAAGCTGATAGAAAAGCAAAAGATACGTACCTGCAACATCGGAAGCTGCTCGTGCCTCCTTTGTGGTCAGCTGGAAATCCCTGCTCCTCACCGTCGCAGGGGCAGGTGCCAACACCTGTCCCGTGGTAACCAAACTCGGACACTAGGCCTTCTTGTGGCCCTGCTGACTGCAATGGAAAGAGATCAGGTCTGATCCCTGGGTGATGGTAGTTGTACAGTCTCTGCTAAAATGACCAGTCCGGCCGCACTTGAAGCAGCCAGAATCACCACCAATACAACTCCTGCACGCACCCTCATGCGTCCTGCCACACTTGCCATATCGACTGCGACTCTTATAGTCCCTCGATCTCGAGTCTGACCCCTTGGGTCTCTTACCTGAACCCGTGGCTACCTGAATCTCATCCGGCTTCCTCTTTGTGAGGTGCTTTAGGTTGATCTCCCTCTCCCTGGATCGAGCAATCGTATCCTCCAGTGTCTTGCAGTTGGACCTGCTCACAAACTACCTGATGTCATCCCTCATCATCTCGTGATATCGAGCCTTCTTCATCTCCTCGTCCGCAACATAATGCGGAACCAGAAGAGCCCTCTCCCTGAACTTGGCGGTAATCTCCGCCACTGTCTCTGTAGTCTGACGGAGGTCCTGGAACTCCCGTGCTAACTGCTATACCTTAATCACCGGTGCAAACTCGGCCTTGAACGTGGCCGAGAAATCACTCCATGTCATCGCTTCCAACGCGACATCATCCCCAATGGCATATCCAACCTCCTCCCACCAATCCCATGCTCTATCCTTCAGAAGACCTGAGGCAAGTCGGACCTTGTCCCCCTCGAGACATCGGCTCGTACGGAAAACGTTGGCAACATCAGCCAACCACCTACTGCTAGCGATGGGGTCCCGAGCCCCATGGTAATCTGGAGCTCCACAAGCTCTGAACTCTTGGAATGTCAGGGTACGCGCCCCTATCATCACTATCACCTCAGTACGGAAAGCTCCTAGCTTCTCATCCAAAATATCTAGTATGCCCTCCTTGACCGTACCGAAGATCAAAGGAGTCTGGTCTAAAATACTACACGTAATCTCTGCTGAAATAAACTCTCTCATCTGCTCCCCGAGCTGCTCGGCTCCTGAGCCCGAGCCTGATCCCTCACCAGCGCCTGAATCGCCAACTGGTCTACCCCGTAGCGTCACCATTCTACAACATATCATAATAACCATCAGAATACTCATCACTTCTGAGGGATCACACACGCACTACAAGTTCCCTGGTTTTATCTCAGCCCTCTTTGATTCGAGTACAGATCCTCTGCTTTCAGTAGTATGGGACCCTACTACCTTCCACATCTATCCGTACTTTCCTCAAGGATTGCCTTGACTCCACCAAGTCCCTTGCACTACTACTATTGCTCCCAGCACTAATCTCATCCTAGGCTTACCCTAGGGAAATCTATAAGCTAACCCAGTCCTCAGCTGCTAAAGAACTCCTCGCAATGCCAATTAACCACTACGTGAATACCATCACATGTGATGAGGCTCGGATAATCCTTCGAGTAAAGGACTCATCCCTACAACAGTTAGACTCATACGAGAGCTGCGCAATAGGGTCAAATCCAATACTCTGAGATTATTCAACCCTGGTCACATGTGTCTTACGTATTCACCTAGTAGTTACCTCCCATCACTCAAAGTCCCACCAAGCAGCTTTCAGACCGACAAAAAATCTAACTAGAAACATAATCAAGCAATTCTGTCCACATATCAGGAATCTATACTAGCATGCGATTCTAAGTTCATACACATATAACAGGCACATAAGGCATCCTCCTACACTACTAGAAAAACAGCCTTTTTACGACGCGCAATGCGTGTCGTAAAACGCTCAGACGACGCGTAAATGCGCGTCAAGGAAGGCCCTGTCATAACGAGAGACGACACGCTTTTGTGCGTCGTCTACAGATGACGCGCATTTATGACACACAATGCGTATCATTAAAACCCCTGTCAAGAAAGGCCATGTCATAAATGAAGATGACACACATTTTTGCGTATCGTAAATTTAAATGTTTAAAAAAAATATATTTATATATTTATTAATTTTTAAATTAAATTTGCATTTAATGTCTCATAATAGAAATAAAATATCATATACAAAAAATACAATCCATTGTATAAAATTTAATGTCATACAATTCTATTTCTTACAATATAAAAATTTGCATTCATCTAATCTACTCTGTGTTTCATACTAACAATTGAAATGAAGAATACAACACTTGCATTTGCAGCATCTTATCTCTTTCAACTTGAGCTTTCTTTTCCTCTTCTAACTCCAGAGCTGTTCGCTTTCATCAACCCTGTAAACACAACACAAAATCACTTGTCATTTTCATTCTACTTTTAAAAATTAATTCTTATTAGGACATTCTACTTTTAAACCTACCAATCTAGCAATTTTTTCAAAGAATATAATTTATAATTTTTTTATGGAAAGTACATTGCTATTTCTTCAATACAAGATGTTACAAACTGGCAAAGAGAAACCCTCTGTCAACTTCCACCGTGAAAAGTGGAAAACCAATCATTATATAGCATAGACACCTGGTTTTACAAGAATGAAGTTAATAATGATTAGATTGATAAATTAAGGAGTTAAAAATGAAGAAATATGATGTAATAAGATGAGAATAATTATTAGGTAACAGGTTAAGAAGATATAAATGCACCATCATCATCCTTGTTGTGTTGGACACAGAACAGGATGCATACCAACCAGACACCATGTCACCAAAAACTTACCACTTAAACCGGTCAACAAGTGACCTACACCTACCTTATTGGAATTGAAACTCATCAACTAAAACACATGAATATGTAAAAAACCTTCAATAAGTATTTGGAGCATTCCCACACAAACAACTAACTAAATGAGAACAATGACACCTTTAAAACAAGTGCCATTGTTGCTAGTCAAACACTCTTATGGACAATATTTCTTTAATAGCCTTATCTAATAAGCACCCTGCAACAGTAAAGGATCAATAAGTTTTTCAGCAAACAGTTTTTAATCATCTAGTTGGCAGCAAACAGTAAAGAATTCAATGTATTTCTAGACCGGGAAGAGGACCAACCCCTACTACCACCACCTCCTGTTGCTGCTGCTACTGCTCAACAAAAATAAATATAGGTTAAACTGATAAAGTAGATTGTTTGTATTGGTAAAAAGAGTAAAGTATGTACTGACTACTGACCTGTTAGCCTATTTGGGTTGGCATCCATAAGAGGGATACCAGACATTGTTCCAGCACCAGCACCCTGACACAACAATGCCTAATTACAGTCTACATTGCTATTATTAAAAAAACATTATATTTTTCAAGTAACACAGCTTACAAGATCACGGGATGGAGGATTCGAAAGCTGTGATTGCTCACTACTAGAAAAACAAGGATACTACGGATTTACCCCATGTAGACATTTTTGTATATATTACAAATTTACCTCAGAAGTTGAAGGTAAAACCACAGGTTAGTACTCTTTGGCATCATCAAGAGTACTCAATTCAGGAACAGCAACCGATTTTTTTGACTTTTTTGCCCCTCCCTCTGATGGTATCGAAAAAGCAGCTTCAATCAAATGATCAAAAAACAAACTTCTATCCTCCATTAATGGTTTATCCACCTAATATCTTCAATACATAGTTACATAATTAACTCTTCAAAGATATTTATAATAGCAACATACTTACATTTTCTTTACATATAATAACATCATAGTTCCAATTGTATGTTGCTAGTTTATGCAGTTTGCCTTGTTTAGAAGGTGAATTGTTATATCAATTGTGATTTTATAAGTAGTCAAACATACATGCTACTGGAAGGGAATACAGAAGAGGGATCTCCATCAAGCTCATCAAGCTGAACAAATGATGTTCCAAGAAGTAATATGGGGGAATCTGATGGCAATTCTGCCAATAAAGTCAATAGCACAGCTCTGAGTTGATCATGTGCCTGAAATCAAAATTGGGATTACAAGATAAGATGACAAAAAGATTTAAATTCTTGAACCAAACACGCTGTATTAGAATAAATTTGTATATAAACAATAAAAATTAAAGAAATTGTAAAAGGGTACCGACATTTTCCCACCAAAGATGAAATTGAGGTAAATAGAGTATGGAAGGTGTAGTTCTCCTTGCTTCACCAAAAACATGAACCAAAGCTTCCTCTGGTGTCTTAGCACTCAGATCAGATAAAAGAGAAGAAAGTCCAAGGGCATGAACAGGAAACTTTTCCAGTTCATGTAAAATAGAAGGTCCCAAATGATCCTATAAAAAAAGGATCATTCCACCATTTAAATAATAACAAAAAATATAAATATCAAAACCGAAGAAAAAAATTACCAGCCCAGCACCCTCAATCCCACACAACAGAAGCCTGGGTCTGTAAACAAGAGGAAGGGCAAAACCGGAAACAACCATAGAAAATTTACTCGATTCAGATGAAATTTCAAGAACAAGAAAGATATCAGATATAACCCTCATGGAATTCTGTAAATGTCTTTGCAGACATGGCGATACAACTGGCGACAAAGGTCTAGAATGCACAACCGAACCTCTATGTGTAGCAGGTGTAATTGCTGACATGGCTTCCATAAAATGATTCTTTTCAACCTCAACAGATTCAACATCTATCAAAAACTTATCATCACCGGTTTAAACCTGAGGGTATTTTTCACGAAAAGCACGTATAGCAGCTTCAGTACAAAGAGCTTTCAAATCAGCCCCACTATACCCCACACAACTTGCAGTAAGCTCCAATTTCAACTCTTTTACAGGTGGTTGCTTCCATTTTCTTGTATGAATATCTAGAATTTCAGCAAGTGCATCCAAACCAGGTAATTGGAAAGTAAACTCACGATCAAATCTACCGGGTCTTCTCAATGCTCCATCAATCGCATCGATCCGGTTTGTTGCCCCGATAAAAACTACTTGTCCCTTTGAATCCAAACAATTCATTAATGCAAGAAGAGTTGAGATAATGGAGTTGTGAATCTGTTCTTGTTTGCTTGATCTCACAGGGGGCAGGTCCCTAGCATACAATGAGAAGATGCGAGACCATCAACCGTGTTTGGAGCAAATGGGATTAGTCAATAATAGAAAGAAAAATAAAGATATAAGTGAAACATAAGGCGGTGATATGTGGCCGCAAGACGAAGCAAGATGTGGGCAGAAAGCGGAACGGGGTTGGAAAAGAGAGAGTGACTGACCTTTAGGCAGCTAATTGAGGTGGTGATGCAGTATAAGTTAAAAGAATGGGCGGCCAGAGCAAACCCACTTAGAAGCGCTCATATTTCTTCAATTGAGCCTTAAATCACCTCTTCGCTCAGAAGACCTGATCACGGATTAACACACCAGGTCAAGAAATCCCGTTTTTTCGCTTTTCTTCTTCTTCTTTTTCTTCTTCTTCTTCTTCTTCTTCTTCTTCTATCTTCTATATTTTTCCTGTTGCCGACTAACTGATACATCATCGGAATCATCAGAAGCGTTATCCAAAAACTAATACCTAACATTGTAGTGAACTATCGATCTAAATCAAAATGGGAGAGAATGTTCCTTAATTTTTGACTGATAACTATAAAGAAGAAGACGAAGGCCCTAGGGCTTTTTCTTGCTAATTGGAAGAGGCGGGGGGTTTAATTTTTGGGATTCAATAGGTAGGTGAAATCCAGCCTTAAAAACGGGTGTTTCATTAAAATATTATAAAGCGACACATTTAGACGACACACATTTTTTGAAAGGCGCCCTCCGCATTTCCTTTTTTTTCTTTTCTGACACTAATTTTAGGGCACACAAAAATGCGTGTCCACTATCCTTCAAAATTTGCAAAATTGACATTATTTTTTAGGGCAAGCACAAATGCGCGTCCTCTATCAGCGAGTGTCATTGTTTGCACATCATTAAAGGGCTGTTTTCTAGTAGTTCTAGATCTTTAGTCCTAACCTAGCATGCAAATTCTCATAAGCATATCATATCTAAACAAACATGTATGGGTAATTTGGGAGAACTTACTTGAGCTTGGTTGATTGCATGCACCACACCCTTTTTCTCTTTTCAAAGTTCTTTTCTCTTTTCCAAAAATTCTTTTCTTTTTCTCAAAGCCCTTTTTATAAAATAATTTTCCTTTGAAAATTTTCATACCAAGTCTTCAGTTTGAGTTCAGACACACCCGAGAGTGCGTCCGAATCCCTCAAACCAAGGTTCTGATACCAACTTGTAACATCCCAAAAATCAAGACCATAAATTTCATTTTAATTAATTAATAAAACTATAAGTTATCAAAACATTTCATCGAAACATTGTCATCAGAGTTCCATATCAAAAATCAGAGTAAAACATCCCAGGCTAAACATCATGGTGTGTGCGATGCAGTCATCTCGAGCTCTTCCCTCTGCTAGCGGAAGTACCTGAAACCAAAACTGAAAACCGTAAGCATGAAGCTTAGTGAGTTCCCCAACCTACCACATACCATACACATAACCACATACTGGGCCCCCACCTGCTGCATCAGGACTTGCCCGACATTGGACTCGCTCTGGCATTGGGCCCCACCCGACATCAGGCCCCGCCCGACATCAGGCCCCGCCTGGCATCGAGCCCCGATCGGTATACAGATCTGTTTCTCTTAGGCCCCGCCTGTCTCTGGGCCTCGCCCGCTAACCACATACAATAACATAAACATACTAGCACAATAAGCAACCATACTCTACTGTATTCCTGTTCTAAGGCCTCGCCTATCTTGGGCCCCGCCCCTGTCCTGCTACTGAAGAGTCATGGAACCCCGTCCATACTTCATGCTAATGGTGAGATACGGGCCCCCGCCCATACTCATGTCTCTCCTGTTCCGGGCCCCGCCCCTGCTCTACTAATAATGAGATACGGAACCCCGTCCGTACTCAGCTAATGGTGAGATACGGGACCTCGCCCATACTCACCTCCTTACCAGGCACATACATGTATCACAAAGACAACAAGTATAACTACTTTGCAACGTATAACATTCCTCAGGCTTACCCCGACATCGGACCCGAGTCCGGAAACATTACCCCGACATCGGACCCGAGTCCGGAAACATACATCGGGCCTCGCCCGACATCGGATCGTAATCCAGAACATATATCATAAAAATACCGAGGGCTAACCCCCGAGTCTTCCTACTATACACAAACATAATGGGCCGACATTGTGGCCGTAGACCCATGCACACAATGAAGAGACTCACCTCGCACTGCTGAAGACCTGCTGATACTCTTCTGGCTGCTAGCTGGCAATTCCCCGAGCTGCTGCTCCTTCGGCTCCCCGAGCTACCAATACCAAAATAACACTTAGGCCAAAATACCCTCAACAGTCAAACTAGGTCAACCTTGGTCCAAGTCAAAGTCACCGGTCAATGGTCAAAGTCAACGCTTCGAGTTAACTCAACTCGCCGAGTTGCTTCATCAACTCGTCAAGTTATAAAAACTCAGAACTCTGAAATCCTAAACACACTCGTCGAGTCAACCCCTGACTTGCCTAGTTCACTGGTTACTCAGACTCGTGATAAACCGAGTCAACTCGTCGAGTCATCCCGAGTTCCTTAGAACTCAGAACCAAGCAAAACCTAGGTCAACTCAGCGAGTTGTTCCATCAACTCGTCGAGCACATGCAAAATCCATAATCGAGAAAACCCTATTCACTCGTCGAGTCACCGTATCGACTCGCCGAGTTCATGTAGTAACCAAACACAGTAAAACCCTCTTCAACTCGCCGAGATGGCTATCCAACTCGCCGAGTTCGTTCAGTCCACTTCTCATTCAGACGATTCTAAGAAAAACAATTGCTCGCAAAGGTAGATCCAACTTCCTAGAGCATGCTTTCCACGTAAAGTTGCTACCTTTACGTGTAAACAATTCCCAAAAGCCAAAACTAAACTACAAGGAAGGGTTTTGCTATGGAGGAGGGCTTCAAGCCTCAAAAGCTTGAGCCTTTAATACATTAGGGACCTTGGAGAGTCCAGATCTGAAGTTGCACCTTCAGATCGTGTTCCATGCAAGTAGTAGTCCACAAATGTGCTAGGAATGGCCATGAAGCTCAAGATGAAGGGATCTATCAAATGAATGCTCAAGGTAACGACTTGTTACCTTCTATTAGCTACCAAACTGAAGTAAGAGCTGGATCTACACTTCCTTCCTTGATCCTTGCTTCCAATCCTCCAAGATGTGCACTCCAAATGAACCTTTATCTTCACAAAGCTCAAGAAATGAAGTTGGGTGGCTAGGGTTCCGTTTCTGGACTTGAGAGGGTAGTAAGGGGGATGAGTGAGAGGCCTCATGTTCTCTAAATAGGGTACCAAGCCCGAATTTAGGGTTTCCCAAACCCTGACCAACTCGTCGAGTTGGTCCCCCTACTCGTCGAGTCGGTCACTTAATCTGCGACTTAAAAATCCGTTCCTACTCGTCGAGTTCCTCCCTGTACTCGGCAATTAGACCTCTTGACTTGGAGTTTTTCTTTCTTTTCTTGACCTTCTGGATTCCGGGTGTTACAAGCACCTAACACCGAATTCGAACAGATTGTGAGTGACGCGGCTGAATAGGGTGGGGACACGTGGCAATTTCCTGTGGAGCCACAGTGTTCGAATGCACGCCGCACATAGGAAAGGCGCAACGCGCACCCCCAAAACTCGACTATAAATTGAGGGTTGTGCCATTCAGTCCAACACACCTTCAAAACACTCCTCTCTTTCTCTTTGGTTTGTGTGTTACCTCATGGAGCGGTCCCTAGAGTTCCGATCTCGTCTCTACCCTAGATCAGCGATTTTAAACCCTAGAGTGAGCTCACGAACCCCATTTTACTGTTTTAAAATGTTTTCACGGGGGGGGGGGGGGGGGTGGAATACATGCTTAATAAATGATTTTGTAAAAATATTTATTTTATAAATATTATGTATAGATGCCTTAGGATAGTATAACTGTAGATACTATGCCAGACTTAAGCTATGATCTGTGTCATGATCTGTGTCTACAGGATATGATGCTCGGTAATCTAGGAGTAGGTATTACCTAGATGTTATAATGGCTATATCCGTAAGAAACCTTAAGTACATAGGAGTTATGCTAGACAAGATTTAGGATATGCACTATACTTAGTTGTTACGCTGCCCAAATATCTTGTTAAAATAACCATAATTATGGTATATATATATATATATATATATATATGACGATTTATATATATCTGATAATTATGAGATCATAAATATAATTATCAATATATATATATATATATATATATATATATATATATATATATATATATCATTTGATGATATATATTCGGGAGAGGTATATACAAAAATAGTGTGATGTGTGTGTGTGTGTATATATATACACACATATATGGGTAATTATGATAATGATAAAAGATTAAAAGATAAAAGATAAAAGCCTAGGGTCAATGCGTTAGTGAGTTGGTTATTCATCCAAAAGCATTGATTAAATTAGCCATATCCCCAATACCTATAATAGTTATTCTTTTGAGAGCTAGGAAGTTATGTATATATCTATATGGGTCTGTGACAACCCCACCTGCGATTGCTAGCTACAATCTTGGCAGGATACCATCCATATAAGTTACTATTCGAACTCCGATGAAGCGTCGTGATTAGGGGTACATTTACGGTCGTAGCGTCGATTATAGGGGTTTACATTAATACATTAAAAATTGCCTTAGAGCTAAGAATACCATTAGGGACGCCTGGTATGGTAATTAAAATACGTTAGTATCGTTAGAAATACTTAAAAGATAGTAAATTAGGGTTAACAAAAGATAATCATAATTAAATTACGTTAGGATCGTTGGATATCCTGAAAAAAAATAGTTATTTAAGATTAATAAAAGATACCCTAAAAGATATAAAAATAGGTAAATAAATAAGAAATGTTTTCACAAAAGAAAAGTATTCTTAAAGGAATTCAAAAATA